GGGTATGATATGTAATGTTTAATTTATGTTTAATTTATAATGTGCAGCACCAACTGGAAGAGAAGGGATATAAAGGTTATACTCTGAAGGAAGTTATCAACATTAAAAAGCTATGTTATAAATATAAACAAGAAAAAGCAAAGCGATCAGGAAATGGTGCATGTAAAAAGTGGAAGTTTTTTTATGATATTGACTTACTTTTGACAACAAGACACACAATGTCAACTCCAGTTATTGTTGTTGACACACTGGCAGAAGATAAGTGTGAGATGGATAATGGACAAGTAGAAGAGTTGGATAACAGATCTGATCCCAGTATTTGATTAAACATACATGCAGTATTCATAACAGGAAGAAAATTAGGGTACACTGATTTACCTAATTGAAAACAGAAATTGCAAACTTTAAATGTCAAAAAAAATTTCTCCTTAAACAGCACAACACCTGAAATAAATAATTCATATCTCTTTGGCTTGTGGAGAACATGCCAGAAATTTTGGAAACCACTGATTATTTTAATAAAATTAAGATCTAGTCGAAACGTAGACTGAACTCTTTCAAAATGCTTACCGTTTTTTTAGTAACTATTGTTTTGCAGAGACCACCACATATATTTAGTGCAAAGCTTTCAATCCGTAAGCCTGGGTCTTCGTCAGTGCTAATAATATATTCTGATGAAGAATCTGGGCTTACAGATCGAAAATGTCTTGGAACAAAATGTCTTCGGAAATGACTCATTGTAATGAATATGAAATGAGCTATTAAGATTTCCTAGCTGGAATGTGTAATCTGTTGCAGTATATAGTACTACATGCGACACAATCGTGATATATCTGATTTTTTGTAAACAGCTGGACATTAACCATCTACCTAAGCAAATCACGAATAACTGGGTTTCATCAGTCTGAAGTTAATTGCCACCATGTCAAAACAGTTTCTCTGGGTGTTTAAATAGGCTTGGAAGTGCTTATTTGTTTTCTATTGTTCTCTAGCCAGTTCTGTCAATCTGTATAAATTCTCATAAAATTTGATCAAATTGCACCTGAGATTTTCATTGATAGTTTCTCTTTATTGCTGCCGAAGGCAGCCTCCTATTCTTGACGATGTGTTTTTCTCGCACCAGTCCGTTTCCGGTTGGCCGAACTATCTATAGCCGTACAACAACTCGATTCTACATGTACGGATGATCAGTTTATGACGTTTTTTGACGTCACAGAAATTTTAAAAAATAACATACTCCAGATTGCGATTTGACTTTCCGAATACTCTGGTTGGGACTCGCGAACACCACTATGAACCATTACAATTTGTAAACACGTTTTGTGGCATATTTGTGCCTCGTGTCTGTTCCCTACGTGTTGTAAAATATTGATTCCAGCTTGCTTTATCGAAATATTTTTTTTGCGTGGCTGTTTATCGACAATATTTTTCAAGGTAAGATGAAAGTTTGATCACAAATGTGTTTTCGTCGAATTATTTCACCCATTGAAACGAACGAATCGACTGTATTTTTATTAAATTTTTAGGTGCTGCCATACAAGCTTGATAGAACATCGTACTTCATTCTTCAAGGTATAAATATTAATCACAGTGATAGTTTATTATTAAATCGTCATTATGGGAATATCAATTGAGCAGTATCGTGCCTGCATTGGAACACATAATTGTATACGAATGAAAAATTACTCCACTTCTTTGCAAGATAGCTTTTGTCGTATATTGTTTGACATGTTATTTCAATTGGTTCTAATAATGGTCATTCTGTTAATAATATTTGTTCGCATATGTTACTTGAGCATATTTTGTGTGTCGCCACTACATCCAAATTTACGAGGCCATTGTGCCTCTGCTACACAAAGTCATGCCTTTGTTTGTATATGTTACTTGAGCATATTTTGTGTGTCATCACTACATCCAAATTTAGCAAGCCATTGTTCCTCTGCTGCACAAATTCAGCAAGCCATTGTCCCACTGGCACTGTTACAAACAAAATTGGCAAGCCATTGTGCCACTGCCACACAATTAAATCAGCAAGCCATTGTGCCGCTGCTACAAACAAAATTGGCAAGCCATTGTGCCACTGCCACACAATTAAATCAGCAAGCCATTGTGCCACTGCTACAAACAAAATCGGCAAGCCATTGTGCCACTGCCACAGAAATAAATCAGCAAGCCATTGTGCCACTGCTACAAACAAAATTGGCAAGCCATTGTGCCACTGCCACACAATTAAGTCAGCAAGCCATTGTGCCACTGCCACAGAAATAAATCAGCAAGCCATTGTGCCACTGCTACAAACAAAATTGGCAAGCCATTGTGCCACTGCCACAGAAATAAATCAGCAAGCCATTGTGCCACTGCTACAAACAAAATCGGCAGGCCATTGTGACACTGCCACACAATCAAATCAGCAAGCCATTGTGCCACTGCTACAAACAAAATTGGCAAGCCATTGTGCCACTGCCACTCAATTAAATCAGCGAGCCATTGTGCCACTGCTACACAAAATCGGCAAGTCATTTTGCTTCAAACGTTTTAATCAAGTTATAGTGTTATTCACTCAAATGTCAGGGTACATTGTTTATGTTCCACTGTTGTTGAGAATGGCAAATAATGTAGAGGAAAATCCTGGACCCACAATATATGATGTGGTTGATCCAACTAAAACAATATGTGCAGATTTTAGTCAGGGAAATACAAAAAAGTTTCGACAAAATGCTGGTAAACAATGTTTAGCAATGTCTTTGACTGCAATAATATATAATCATATCACAAATGCAAATGAATGGGATTCAAGTGTATTAAATTCCATACTGTGTGCTGGAAATAACCTTTATTCTTTTATAAGCAATTCTGTTAACAAAAGCTATTTGCTTTTGACTGACGTGCCTGAAATGGTTTCGGTTTTTGATGGCATTTACTGTATGCAATATGGTGACCCATTTGCTGGCGACTTATTCATGGAAAACACTGCTCTACCTTATTATTCTATAGAGAATGCTCTTAATAATCTGTTCACGGAAACTCATTTAAGTTATCAACATTGTATGTTGACGATTGGTTGTAATACTGTTGCAATTTTTAAGACTTCTGAAGGAACCTTTAAAGTATTTGATTCTCATTCAAGAGATT